AGTAAAGTACAGATACCCAAAAATTCTACGTAAGTACAGTAACAAATTATTTGTACTTAGTTACTTTACAACTCTGCTTTTTAGTGATGTCTCAATATTGGTATTGACATACAAAATGTACCTGTCCATTTACCAGTATTCTTACAAATACTTGCACAATGTTCAACATACCTTTATTAATCTCCCTTGTTTTGCACAAAAAACACATTAAACATAAAATTTACACAATGAACACATTGCACATAAAAACTCATGAATTACCTTAAGAATACTGGACATCCTACCTCCGTAAATGTCCTGTCCCTCTCCGTTTGACCCGAGACATCCACTCATTGATGAGCTTCACTGAGAGGAATGAACGAGTTCTTGTATTGATTGTGTTTACATAAAGGAACCCTTCTTGTTGTGTTCATTAAAACATATTCTGAATTCAGAAAATGAGTGGTGTCAGACAAGACACTCWGAGAGCCGTCTGCTCAAACAGGTCTTGTAAAGGTAAAGGTGCAGCAGTACCCATGGTTTTACCTGTTGTACTCAGCAGATTTAATATCTGAACCTTTGATTTAATGGTCATTTTACAAAACCAACAGACAATGTATTTTAACACAGACTCAATCATTACTTTGTAAAAATTAAAAAAAAGGTCAACATAATATTCTTAAAGACTCCAAATACTCGATGGAGTAAGTCGACGGAGAAAATGCGGTCACTGATGGATTCGGACACAAACRCTTGTCAATTGTGTGACAAGTCACTGTCAATATGTACAAAATTCCCAGATACTCTGAACTGATACCAATATCAGTATAGATACTGGGACAGATACTCAATTTAATGTGTTACAGTTTACATTTCAAKTGAAACAYATGCCCATTCCAGGTTTAAGAAATRTATACAATGTGAATGAAAATCTGTTTTATTATTTATTTTAAARTGTTGCAACAGCATATATCATACTGTATGTTTGATTTGATACAGAGTGGCTAATAATAGTAAAATGARGAAGGAGGGCCACCTTGTTCTAAATAAAATAATTGTATTTTAAAATCATTGTAAGGTTTAGGTTCTAATTCAGAAAGTGCTACTTTTAAGTTGTYTGGGCATTTGCAGTGGAAATTAAAAGGTATCCTGAAAGGAATGCATRTCACCTGCCATCAGCGTTTTAAACAAAGATCTTGTGCARTCTGTTATCTCTCAGAGTRTGTGTTTAGCATGACTCCTAGCTACTACCACACTGATTCTTAGCTCAACATCTGTTAAAATGACTGAGTTGTGGCAATTTTTGTGTTTAAAAAGATCAAAAAAAGGTCATTTAGGTGTGGCTGCCATCTCGACTCAGTAATCCGTTGTAGAGCCATACTTTCAGCGTTTTTTTATCATTCATGCACTTTTTTTATGAGACATATCAAACAACAGACACAGGTAATCATGTGATGGTGATGGCAGGTGATTAGAGCTGGAAAAGTTTTGGATTGGTCAGTAAAGGTGGTTTTTGAATGTTCCTGTTCTCGTTCCATGGTGCTGTGAAAGAAGTAACATAAATCTGGCCCATCTACAGATCTTACATCAAATGTCTTCTGGCTGTCCTGGTTTAAACCTGGGCCCGTATTTATAAAACTTCTTAGAGTGGATTTTTAGACTTAAGTGCTTAGATTTGCTCCTACTCTCAGACTTAAGTGTAAGTGCCAGTTATCAAAATTCTTAAGTCTAAGAATCACTCTTACTCTCAAGAAAAGTTAAGACAGCTCCAGAGGACTCTTAAGTGGTTAAGAGTTGCCACTAGGGCTCTGAGATGAACTGAGGAGACAGAGATTACAGCTGTCCTCCTCCCCACCTGAGTGTTTTTCTCAGTTATAAGGTGGAAAACAGGTTTAATCAGAAATATACAAAAGAAACAAGGGTTTAAAAAAATTAAAAAAAAACTGCATAATATTGGACTAAAAGGCAGATATCTTTGTGTAGCTTTTGGAGAAAATATTAAAAATACTCAGCTGGTGAGTGCATGCGACCCCCAAAGAAAGAAAGAAAGAGAGAGAAAGAAAGAAAGAAAGAAAGAAAGAAAG